TGAAATCCAGGAATCAAACTTGCTATATGATAGGAATTGTCCACAGCAATTCACAAAACCGTATGAGAAAGATACTGCTGTTATCCCTGTGTCATCGATGAAGAAATGCAAGCTTGGAGAGCTTATGTAATTGACTTGCCAAAGATCCCACAGCTTGTGAGTGTTTGGGCAGGGATTTAAGGCAACCAGACTACAGAGCCCACATGTAATGATCAGGATACTCTGCCATTTCCCAGTTTCTCCTACCTCCTTTCTTTAGCTAACGGGTATGTCTTTGGGCTGTTTTGCTGCCAATTCTGACTCCATCTATACATGTTCTTACCTTACCTAGTCCCTAAGAAAGTCTAACTGGCAGCCTAGCATGGTGGCTCATGCCTGTAATGTCGGCACCTTGGGAGGCCAAGGCAGGAGGATTGCTTGAGCCTAGGCATTCAAAACAAGCCTAGGCAACAGAGCAAGACCCCGTCTCTTTTATTTTTAAAAAGGAAGTCTAACTGGTATAGCTCGGATTGTGTCCACATTTAAATTGTGAGGACGTGGGCTGGAGGGTCCCTCAAATGCACCCACTACGTCTTGTTGAATTCTCTACAATCAAGACTGGAACAACCACCACAAGCAGTAATATAGCAGGAGGAGAGTGGCAGGAACACTAACGAGTGTTGATTACCTAGTAGGTGCCAAACACTATGCGAAGTGTTTTAAATGCATTACCTTGTTTAACTTTATAACAACACAAGGGGTAAATGAGACCAAAGACTAACAAAAGGTCAATCAAAACCACTTCTAGGGTTAAAGAACAAAGACATTAGAAGACCCCAACACCATAAGAGAAAGGAAGACAAGAAAAATGGCACTAAGGAAGAGGCTTGAAAAGGTGGACTTCATTTTTTCTTAATCTGTACTTTGAATAAATATTACAACAATAATACAAAATTCAAAAGACATAGAAGAGGGTTATTTTTGTTATTTTCTTGTTTTATACAGTCAAAATAGTTTATTGATTAGAACAAACTTTACTTTTCTTTTGTTTTTTGAGACAGAGTCTCACATGTCACCAGCGCTGGAGTGCAGTGGCACGATCTTGGCTCACTGCGACCTCCGTCTCCCGGGTTCAAGCAATTCTCCTGCCTCAGCCTCCCGAGTAGCTGGAATTACAGGCACCAACCACTACACCCAGCTAATTTTTGGTATTTTTAGTAGAGATGGGGTTTCACCATGTTGGCCAGGCTGCTCTCGAACTCCTGACTTTGTGATTCACCTGCCTCAGCCTCCCAAAGTGCTGGGATTGCAGGCATGAGCCACCATGCCCGGCCAACTTTTCTTTTCATAAGAGTTTTCTAATGGACATTTGTCATTTGTGCCTGCAATTCCAGCACTTTGAGAGGCTGAGGTGAGTGGATCACGATGTCAGGAGTTCGAGAGCAGCCTGGCCAACATGGCAAAACCCTGTCTCTACTAAAAATACAAAAATTAGTCGGGCATGGTGGTGGGCACCTGTAGTCCCAGCTACTTGGGAGGCAGAGTCAGGAGAATCCCTTGAATCTGGGAGGCGGAGGTTGTAGTGAGCCAAGATCATGCTGCTGTACTCCAGCCTGGGTGACAGAGTGAGACTCTGTCTCCAAAAAAATGAAAGAAAACAAACAAACAAACAAACAGAACACATTTCCTAAGACCCTTTGCTGCTAGGATATAGACATTTGACTATCTTCCAACAAATCCAAACCTAAACAAGACTTGGAATATAGGTGACAGGCTGCAGACACAGAATTCTAGTAAGTCTGGACACAACAGTGCCTGGCCTTCTGCATGAACTGCAATGGGGTCCTAGTGGTCAGTTCTGGTTTTATAGATGTTAAGAATCATCTAGCAGCAACAGCAGGATTTCTTCTAGAAGAGTCTTAGGATATCTGGGACATGTGGGATGCTTGGACATTCCTCCTGGCTGCTTCACTTCTGGTGGTATAATATCCAGGCTTTGTTTCTTGGCCCTTCTAGAAATTCTAAGAAATGCCATGTAATAAAGTTCCGCTGAAACTAGCCAGACTGGATTTTTCTCCTGAAAGAGATCCCAAGGTATTGGGAATCGGGAATTGACTAGGTGACTTGGTTGGGTTTGAAAGTAGTAAGGATAGGATATGGGAAAAACATGACATCTGGTGGCCAGAAAGTCACTAAAACTATTGTTAGAGAAGTTAGTATGACACTATTCCTGCCTGTGTCTGCTTTTTCTTTTTATTTCTTTTAAGACTGAGTCTTGTTCTGTTGCCCAGGCTGGAGTGCAGTGGTACAATCTAGGCTCACTGCAACCTCTGCCTCCTGGGTCCAAGCAATTCTTGTTCCTCAGCCTCCGAGTAGCTGGGATTACAGGCGTGTGCCACCACAGCTGGCTAATTTTTGAATATTTTTAGAGACGGGTTTCACCATGTTGGCCAGGCTGGTCTCAAACTCCCAACTTCAGGTGATCTGCCCTCCTCGGCCTCCTAAAGTGCTGGGATTACAGGTGTGAGCCACCACACCTGGCTGCTGCCTCAGTTTAGATAGAGGCATCAACAGACTAAATCTCAAGATGCGAAAATTAGATTGAGACCAACCACCACACCCCCTCCCTGCCACCTACCTCACCCTGCCATGCATGATTTAGAACAGGAGGGAAGAAGACCCGATTCCACATCTCCTAGGGCTCTCGATGAAATCAAAGATATAAAAGGGGTCAGTGGGAGGATTTAGGAGACTATGGTTGAGAAGATTGTTTCGAAGAGACTTTTGCTCTGCTGTGAGCCCTCTCCCCTTAGGATGAGGGGCAGAGGCGCTGTCTCCCAACCCTAAGCCTAGTGAGGTTTTTAGTTGTCCACTGGGAAAACTTTGAAACGGGTGCCTTGCAGTTGGAAGACACAGAAGACTGGGGCAGCCTAATGAGCAAGAAACTTAGAGCATGCTGCAAACCGAAGTCCGACTTCACCAAGAAAATTCAGAATGTGTTTCTCCGTAACAAAGCTGGCTACCTGCTTTGGAGATGGAAGAACAAGCAGGGCTTCCATTTTGGGATCAGCAGGCACTCCTGGAGTTTACTGAGGCAAAGGATGAAGGAGACTTCATAAGTCCATATGAAGGTAACACAAGACAAAGCCTTGGGTCCTGTCTAACAGGTCCTCTTAGAAGGACCTCCACAGAAAGCAGCTGAGCATGCTCAGCAGGATACCCAGAGGCTCAGGAAGGAGTTGAATAGAGATACATCCACCTGAGTCTCCCGAACTGCAGGAGCAGGGGCCTGCAGGAAGCCACTCCAACATTCCTATTCAAGGGCCGGAAGAAAAAGAACCAGCTTGAGCTGGTCCAGGCCCCCGGGGGTTACCAGCTCTAATCATCTGCAGGCCCAGAGAGATGAAGCTACCAGATCATGTAGTGACTCACTTACCCCTCTTTCCTCTAATTTCTACCCTACCATAAACCCTGGAAGAGACAGAAAATGACAGCTGGCGGGTGGATAGAAGTGAGGGCGAGCAGGAAAGAGAAGCCATAGAAGCTGCCAAAAGTTTCCTCCAGGGCTAAAGGAAGGTCATGTTCTCTTTCTCTAACCCCTGAATAAAGTGTAAAGAGTTGGTGGGAAACAAGTATAAAATTGTGTTTTGATTATATCATGAGTTGTGTTCATAGATGTCCATGTCACCCAGTGGGAGAACCAAAATTATCACCTCCAGTGACATAGAATGAAGTGCCTATTGAAAGCAAGGTTCTGGGGGACTGCAGAGGGGGGATTATAAAGGCCACGAGGTGAACAGTTCCATCTGACTGCACGATGAAGTTTCAAGAAAAAAATTACATTTTCAGGGATTTAAATTCTCACTTTGAAGCATGGTCAGTGAATGAGAAAGTTTCTGTGACTTCCCTCAAATACTCTTTTATGTCATGAAGTACAAGGCTAATGAAGCTGAAAATCAGAGGCAGAGACAGAGCCTGAAGATGGATGAATCACAAAATCGACTGAATTCACAGTCCCGCTATGTCTTTCAGGGCATTGATTGGGAAAAGGTGGTTCTTCCCCTGAGTATTGGAGTGGAAATATTCTGAAGGTGTCAGATAACCCCAAGAATCTGAGAGCCCAGAACTCACAGAGCCTCACAGGCCAATAAAATGAGAGCAGCCCTTCCTCCCATTCTGATGAGGCTGGTCCTGTTTTATTAAGAGACCCTGTAAGGAGTGCACTGAATGGTCACCTTGCAAGGGGATGTCCTCATGGCCCACCCTTACTCTGCTCATTATCTCCAGATCCACACTTAGAGTCAGATTCTAGAATGTCCTGAAATCAAAACCAAACCTGGGAAGAGAAGACTTGCATACCAAAAGAATAGCAAGATTACGGGAAAGTATTCTGAGAATGTTAGGGTGAGAAGAACATCATTTTAGATTGGTCAAATTCATCTCATAGATACCCTCCCCGAGAATCCTGGAGTCAACATGCTAGATTAAACAAGTGAAAGAGGTTTGCTTGGCTGTCTAAAAATGAGTCTCACTGGTGGCCTGAGCAGGGTGGTCATATGCCACACATTCCTTGATGTGCTGTGGAAAAAGGAACCCAAAGCCTTAGGAGATATGAATGTGGTGTATTATTCCATTTTAATGCTACTATAAAGATGTTACTGGAAACTGGATAATTTATAAACAAGAGGTTTACTTGACTCACAGTTCCACGTGGCTAGGGAGGCCTCAGGAAACATACAATCATGACGGAGAAAGCAGAGGGGAAACAGGCACTTTCTTCACAAGGTGGCAAAAGAGTGAGGGAGCTCAGGAAAAATGCCACTTCTAAACCATCAGATCTCGTGAGAGCTCACTTAGTATCACGAGAACAGCATGGTGGGGAAAACTGCCCCTGTGATCCAATCACCTCCCACCAGGTCCCTTCTTCCACGTGTGGGGATTACAATTTGAGATGAGACTTGAATGGGGACGCAGAGCCAAACAACCAGTTTGAGTGGATTTATAATCGCTGATCTACTCACCCAACTCCAGAAAAATGTACTTTGGTGAGAGAAGTGTTGGCATTCTTGAAAAGTGGATGCCTTCTGTAGACCAGGGATGAGAGTGGAACATGCTTTGATGGAAAGAGTCTTCCTGGAGGGGCAGACACCAGCTTTAACCTTCAGGGGCAAGTACATGAGCTTCAGCAAGTGAGCTTCCTGAAGAAAAGCAGAAGACTTAGATGTGATTATCAGAAGGATTTGACTCTTAAGGATATTCCAGAGTGCTTAATAGATCCTAGAGCCTTTGGGGCTGGAATACATGGACGCTAAAGTCTGACCTAATTTGCATGACAACAAAATCTAAGTCTGGGGAACAGAGGACTGATTAGTCGTGATGATGGTGAGTCCAGTCCTTCACCGAATCCCAGGCCTGAGTCACTTTCCAAACGCAGAGCCCTTTGAAATAGTATGGAGACCAGATGCTCCTGAGGAACAACCCAGCAATGCCAGCACAGAGTGTACTGAAGTCTTCCTCTTTCCTTTAGGGAAGGCACTTGGAACAATTGACCAGGGCAATTGGACCCTGGGAAAAGGAACTCATAGCCCTTTCAGGATGATTATCTCCTAACTAATGCTAATCCTGGAGGCCCCAAATGCCATCTGTAATTCTCTGGTAAGCGTACAGAATTTTATGGATAATGGCTGGTAATGGGGCTTACTCACGGGGGAACTGTTCCCAGTGACCTCGGTGGGTCCTTGAACTCATCTTAGTTACTTCCTTAGCTCTGGAGTGCTTAGTTGTAATCGAAGTACTGGCAGAAGAGTCACACTGGCTCCCTGCCCTGTGACGGGAATGTTATTACAGTTGGAGCTATTAAGAGGGAGGCTCTGGAACAGTCCCTCCCGAAATAATAAACCAAATGCCTTGTGTTTATTAACTCACTGCATTTTCACAACAACCCTATGATGTAGGCAGTATGGTCTCCCCATTTATAAATAATTCTCTGAGGTACAGAGAATTTAGCAATTTGCCCACATTTACATAGTGAGTAAAAGTGAATTCAAACCCATTCAAATTCTAGAGTCCACACACCAAGTAAAAATCCTCAGTCAGGCCGGGCACAGTGGCTCATGCCTGTAATCCCAGCACTTTGGAAGGCCAAGGCAGGAGGACCACTTGAGCCCAGGACTTTAAGACCTCTAAGCGCAACACTGTGAGACCCTGTCTAAGAAATTAAAAAAAAAAAATTAGCTGGGCCTGGTGGTGTACCCTTGCAGTCCCAGCTACTCTGGAGGCTGAGGCAGGAGGATCACCTGAATCCAGGAGGTCGAGGCTGCAGTGAGCTACGATCGTGCTATGGCACTCCAGCCTGGGTGACAGAGGGAGACATTGTCTCAAAAAACTAAAAATAAAAAATAAGTCCTCAGGCAGCTGAAATGCTTGCTACAGGCAAAAGAGACATCAAAGGAGTGGTGGGGGAAGGATGTTATCAGCACCAATTGTGCCCTTGTGAATACTGTTCAAACAAGGAACGAAGAAGCTTTTCATGTTGAGAAGGAGTATAGTTAAGAGGCTAAGTGCAGAGAATTTGAAGTCAGACTGGATGGGTTCAGATCCCAGATTCACTGCTGAAGATGCTGAACCACTTTCGTTCTTTTTTTTTTTTAGAGATGGCATCTCGCTCTGTCACCCAGGCTGGAATGCAGTGTCGCAATCTCAGCTCACTGCAACCTCTGCCTCCCAGGTTCAATCGATTCTCCTGCCTCAGCCTCCTGAGTAGCTGGGATTACAGGCATGTGCCACCACGCCCAGCTAATTTTTGTATTTTCAGCAGAGACGGGGTTTTACCATGTTGGTCAGGCTGGTCATGAACTCCTGACCTTGTGATCTGCCCACCTCAGCCTCCCAAAGTGCTGGGATTACAGGTGTGAGCCCCCATGCCCAGCTTGTCAAACCACTTGTGTGTGTGTGTATCTTCCCACAGGAAAAGTGCAATGTTGAAGTGCAAGAACGGCGATGCTTGTGTGATGGGGCTTTTGCTTTAGGTGAGCTGAACAGCATCCTTGTTTCCTAGAAGTTCCCAGTAAAGGGAACTACCCTAAAGCCAGGTTCCTGAAACTGTGCAACTATCCTTTTCTGTTTCTTTCTTTCTTTTTTTTTTTTTTTTTTGGAGAGAATGAAAGAAAGAGAAAAAAAAGGAGTGAAGAAGAAGAAGAAAGAGGAAGAAAAAGAGGGAGAGAGAACGGAAATGTTGCTTTATTCTAAAAATGGGTATTGAAAACCTCTTTTATGCCAATAATCGTGCTTAATAATGGCCGATCAATATTTCATTTAAACTTATGAGTAGGTGCAATGTGGTACTGACAAAAATGTATATTTTGTGTATTTAAAGTGCAGAGCTCTATAAATGTTTATTAAGTTTACTTGTTCTGGATCTGAGTTCAAGTCCTGGATATCTTTATTAATTTTCTGTCTCATTGATCTATCTAATACTGATGTTGAAGTCTCCCACTATATCTTTTTTTTTTTTTTTTTGAGATGGAGTCTTGCTCTGTTGCCCAGGCTGGAGTGGGGTGGCTCAATCTAGGCTCACTAATGCAACCTCCACCCCCTGGGTTCAAGCAATTCTCTGCCTCAGTCTCCCAAGTAGCTGGGATTACAGACACCCACCACCATGCTCAGCTATTTTTTTTTTTTTTTTTTGTATTTTTTAGCAGAAATAGGGTTTCACTATCTTGGCCAGGCTGGTCTTGAACTCCTGACTTCATGATCCACCTGCCTTGGTCTCCCAAAGTGCTGGCATTACAGGTATCAGCCACTGCACCTGGCCAAACAACTTTCTTAACTTCTCTTTGGTTCAATTTCCCCATAGGTTAAAAGAAGTGGGGAGAAGGGAATACTGATAGTTCTTATTTAGGAGGCTTAAGAATTAAATTAATTAACATTCATGTAAAGTGCCTGGAAGGCAATTTTGCTATTATTATCTTCCTTACTGTATCGAGTACATTTTTATGCAGTTAACTGATTTTCTCTTTTATTTCTTTTTATTTATTTCTCTTTTTTTTTTTTTTTGAGTCTCACTGTTGCCCAGGCTGTAGTGCAATGGCGTTATCTCGGCTCACTGCAACTTCTGCCTCCTGGGTTCAAGTGATTATCCCACCTCAGCTTCCTGAGTAACTGGGACTACAGGCACCTGCCATCATGCCCGGCTAATTTTTATATTTTTGTAGAGATGGGGTTTCACTATGTTGGCCAGGCTGCTCTCGAACCCCTGACCTCAAATGATTCACCCGCCTCGGCTTCCCAAAGTGCTGGGATTACATGCGTGAGCTGCTGCACCTGGTCTTTTTCATTTCTTATAGCTTTTCTCCCACTATTTGGTATAGTCTATGTTAATGATGGCCAACTTTACAACTTAGTTCAGAGGTTATAGAATAACAAGATGGGCTTATTATTATTATTATTATTATCATTGAGACAGAGTCTTGCTCTGTCACCCAGGCTGGAGTGCAGGGTGATCATAGCTCACTGCAGTCTCCAACTCCTGGGCTCAAGCAATCCTCCTGCCTCAGCCTCCTGAATAGCTGGGACTACAGGTGCACATCACCAGGAAGAGGGCTTATTATTAAACTTGAGGAGGAACAACCATCACTCAGAAGTCCTGGACTTGGAGACAAATTCAGGAGCTGCTGACTTGAGGTCTTTCCTTAGGGAAGAGTGTGAACACGTTCTCATTTTTACAAGGGATAGTAACATTATCTCAAGTTACAGAAAGTTGTATAGCTTAAAAGTAGATTTTTTTTTTAATTTTTTATTGGATTTTAGGTTTTTGGGTACATGAGCAGAGCATGCAAGACAGTTGCGTAGGAACACACATGGCAGTGTGCTTTTCTTTCCTTCTCCCCTTCACCCACATTTGGCATTTCTTTTTTTTTTTTTTGATATGGAGTCTCGCTTTGTCACCCAGGCTGGAGTGTAGTGCCGCAATCTTGGGTCACTGAGGTTGCTCTGCCTCCTGGGTTCAAGTGATTCTTCTGCCTCTGCCTCCAGAGGAACTGGGGCTACAGGCCTGCACCACTGTGACTAGCTAATTTTTTGTGTGTGTTTTTAGTAGAGATGGGGTTTCACCATGTTGGCCAGGCTGGTCTCAAACTCTTGACCTCAAATATTCCACCTGCCTCACCCTTCCAAAGTGCTGTGATTACTGGCATGAGCTACCATGCCTGGCCTTAAAGGTAGATTTGCTGTGGATAATTTGCCTTTAAAAATTACGACTAGGGTGAATGTTCAATAATATTCACCTGTAGTTATCCAATTAGTTATGACACGGGTTACTGATGCTAATGCTGATAATAGTATCAGACTGTAGAGTTCGTAGAATAATTATTTCATGTCATCTATTACATTAAACTGTAAGTTCCATGAAGGTCGGGGTCTTTTCTCTCTTGTTTACCGTCGTTTACCCAGAGCTACTGCAGTGTGCTGTGCACAGGATCTCTCAATAAATATTAGGATAAATGACCCATTTATTTTGGTATGAAGATTGCATTAGTTACCTATTGCTGGATAACAGATGACTACAAGTTTAGCAGCTCAGAGCAGCACGCATTTATTATCTCACCATTGCTGTGGGTTCAGGTCGGGAGTCCAGGCATCTGTTTGTTGGGTTCTCTATTCCAGAGTTTCATCTGAAAGCTGCAGTCGCATTTCTGACCAGGATTGCAATCTCATCTCATATGGTCGTTGGCAGAATTCAGTTCTTCATGGGATGTTGGACTGAGGACCTCTGTGTTTTGCTGGCTGGGAGTTGGAAATTATCTTCAGTTCCGGACACATAGGCCACTCATAGAGCAGCCCACAGCAGGACTCCTCAATTCATCAAAACCAGGAAGGAAGAATGTGTTAGCAAGAAGGACATTACAACCTTCTGTAACATACTAATGTACATGTAATCACATACATCTCGTGATCTATCTATTAAAGGAAACTGACAGGTCCCACCCACACCCAAGGGGAAAGAATTACACAGAAGCATGAGTGCCAGGTGGCAGGGATCACTGGAGGTCGTCCTAGGGTCTGCCTCAAAATTCACTGAATGCTGTCATCAGATCAGCTAAGCTGTTCCCTAAGGAAGGCAGGATAGTTCATGCCTGTGAAATGGCAGCAGGTCCTCATTAGCTCAGCCCTCATTATCGAAGTCCTTGTTGTTGCCAGGTTGCATAGGGAAGCAGAGGCCATCTTGAGATGAAAATATCACTAATATTATCAAATTAACTCCCACTCTAGCAGACAGTTCTCCTCTTAAAGCTAGTTATGTCCTTGTACATCCCATTTTTCCAGAGCCGCCGCATGCTAATATATGAGTCTAAATGTAAACTCAATCAAACCAATTGCTCAGGTACTTCAAAAGAAAATTATTTGAATATCAGAGTCTTAGGAGAGGCTTTTGAGAAAACTGATGAAATGCTCAAATAATTTTGCACAAATGATTTTTGCTTGAATCATGTTGGGAAATTTGGGTGTGGAGGATTATCCTGCTATCATGTCATGTTTGGGAGAATATGAAAAAATTTCAGCAAAATATATAGTTTTTTCATTCTAAGAAAATTACCTAGATGCAAAACAACCTAAATAATTGAAACTTAAATGTAATTTAAAAAATAACATAATCTCATAATTTTGCTGTTTACTATAAATTTTGGTCTCTTGTGAGTGATGCTTTGATTCAAACCCTAGCTATGTCAGTTACGATCTGGGCACGTTAACTTTCCTGTGTCCCATTTAACACATATATAACATTGGAATACCAATAATAATAGTATCTAGGCCGGGTGTGGTGGCTCACGCCTGTAATCTCAGCACTTTGGGAGGTCAAAGTGGGCAGATCACCAGGTCAGGAGTTCAAGACCAGCCTGACCAATATGGTGAAGCCCCATCTCTACTAAAAATACAAAAATTAGCTGGGCGTGGTAGCAGGAGCCTGTAGTCCCAGTTACTCATGAGGCTAGGGCAGGAGAATTGCTTGAACCCAAGAGGCGGAGGTTGCAGTGAGCCAAGATCACCCTACTGCACTCCAGCCTGGGTAACAAAGTAAGACTCTGTCTCAAAAATAGTAATAATTGTATCTATAGCACTAGCTACACCATTAGACTATAGCAACAAGTGTGTGAGGTCAGTGTTATGGCAGATGCCTCTGACAGAGTGACATGTGATTGGAATAAGATGACCAGATGTGCCATTTTTGTCTCTAAAATGTTAAGCCTTAGCATCATAAACCAGGGTGGCCAAGAAATTAAGGAAGCTCAGTGGGTATCTGCAAGTTCTGGATAACTTCCTTATCTGAGTCTAACTGGTTTTGGACAAAGTTGTGCCCAACGTGAATCTACCTAAAACAGAAACCAAATGATACTCTTTCCCTCTCTTTCCTCTTCTTCAACTAAACCTTTCATTCCTTAGCTCTCCCCTGCTCCCAAACCCACCTCTTACGTTCCTCCAGGGTGCTGCTTGAGATCTGTGAACAGTGCCCTTCAGCTCTCAGGAAAAGAGAAACAATCTAAACCAAAAAAGCAAATATATAAATATTGAACCACCTTCCAGCTGTTTTGTTTGAACAAAGACAGGAAAGCCCAAAGCAAGGCTCAGGAGTGTTAAAGTTCATTTTCAAAATGCAGAGCAAACAGCACTGATTCTTAATAAGCCAAAGGAGCAGGACAGAACTCAGAGGGACCAAGGAAAGGGTTACTGCATGACAGATCAGTGACACAGACATAGCGGTGGAGTTCACAGTGGGGCAAGCACGGGGGAGTGAACTGCTGCTTGGGGCAAGAAAGGCTTTTGAAACTTCGGATTCTGAGCATGAAACCTCGTGTTCCCAATTCAAGCAATTGGGAATGCATCTCTGCCTCTGCAGATGTAGACAATAACAAAATCCTTAGAGGTCAAGCTTGGGGAAAAGAAAATAAACAGTGGTATCCAAGTAGTATTGCCTTTGGAAAGTAAAAACTAAGGGAGAAAGGAAGCATTATTCCATAGTTGATGCTGGAAAAAATCTGAAGAATATAATAAATTTATGTCACTGTAGAAATTTTGATTCCACTTTGATGGAAATGAAAAGAGACTATAGGTAACATAACACACGGTATTTAATCGTTAAGTCTTGAGGGAGGATAATCTCCTTGATAAAATCACGTGGAGAATTCAAAATCATGGGGTGGAATTTCTCTTCTCAGTAAGATGAGAAAAGGGGATTAGAGAATATTTGCACTTCCAGAAACCCCAGAAAAACAAGGCACAATAAATATTACCTAGATGGGTCAAAGATCTTAAGTTTAAAAATATTCTTATTATCACTCACAACTTTGATCGCTACCATTTCAGTATTTAAGGGTAAAAAACCCTCTAGTATAACAGTTTATTACATATGTGTTTAAATGTTCTAATATATAACCTTTAACCTTGAGTCTATGATAGCTACAAAGCTTGTAACGCATTTCTGTTATAAGTATTCAAATGTTATTTGTAGGAAATTAAATTTCCTCACTGTCTTGGATCACATTGCCTAGAGGCAGAGGCTGAGACAGGGATTAGGAGGTGAATGATTTGAAGGAATGCATTCAGGAGAAAAGGAGTGAGGAAAGGAGAAGGCAGAGGAGAAGGGGCTGAGCAAGGGTGGGGTCTCAAGCCTGGAGAGGAGCTTCAGCTGATCCTGTGGCCAGCTCTGGAGCATAAGTTACAACTCAGAATAGGTCCCACGTTGAGGCCGGGCATGGCTGACGCCTGTGATCCCAACACTTTAGGAGGCCGAGGCAGGAGGATCGCTTGGGCTCAGGAGTTTGAGACCAGCCTGGGCAACATGGTGAAACCCTGTCTCTAATGGAATTAGCTGGACATGGTGGTGCATGCCTTTTGTACTAACTACTTAGGAGGCTGAGGTGGGAGGATGGCTTTAGTCCTGAAGGTTGAGGCGGCACTGATTCATGATTGCAGCACTGCACTCCAGGATGGGTGAAAGAGACCCTGTCTCAAAATAAAAAGAAATTGAAGAATTGACCCACATTGAGGCAAGGGAGCCAGCGTCAGAGCCCCAGTCATTGGCTACTGGTTATGACTGGGGAGAAGCAATTCTTAAAAGAAAGGGAAAGCTGTGAACGCTTAGCAGCCAAAACTCACAGCACTTGGGGATGGGTGCACCAGCCAGGTAGAAGGCACCTGGGGGCCTGGTATAGTGGCTCACACCTGTAATCCCAGCACTTGAAGTCAGGAGTTCGAGACCAGACTGGTCAACATGGTGAAACCCCATCTCTACTAAAAATACAAAAATTAGCCAGGCATGTTGGTGCGTGCCTGTAATGCCAGCTACTTCAGAGGCTGAAGCACGATAATCACTTGAACCCAGCAGGCAGAGGGTGCAGTGAGCCGAGATTGTACCACTGCACTCCAGCCTGAGTGACAGAGCAAGACTCTATCTCAAAAACAAAAAAGGTCAGGCACAATGGCTCACGCCTGTAATCCCAGCACTTTGGGAGGCAGATGCGGATGGATCACCTGAGGTCAGGAGTTCAAGACCACCCAACATGGTGAAACCTGTCTTTCCTAAAAATACAAAAATTAGCTGGGCGTGGTGGTGGGTGCCTGTAATCCCAGCTACTCGGGAGGCTGAGGCAGGAGAATCACTTGAACCCGAGAGATGGAGGTTGCAGTGAGCCGAAATCGTGCCATTGCACTCCAGCCTGGGCGACAAAAGTGAAACTCTATCTTTAAAAAAAAAAAAGAAAAGAAAAGAAAAGAAAAAGCCACCGGGGCAGCACACCAGCAGCATCCAGTGCACTCACTACAGCTGCGACAGAAGCTCAGCTGCCTGTGACAACTAAGCCGCTATCACCAACCTCGCCAGCCTGTGTCAAGAAATCTCACCACCCTAAGTACGGAAGAGAGGTTGTTGGTGGTCTGTCACTAGTGTGCACTTCCCCCATTGAAGCCTATTTGAAATAAATAATTTCTCTGGCAGATTCAAATCTAAATGCAGTGAGAATTGTTATTTTTCCACAGCCACAGGCAAAACCAATTAAAGATGGTTTAAAGTAAATAACGTTTAAAAAACAAACATTAGAAGACTGGAAGGAAGTAGAATTGAATATTTATTGTCATTCTCAAAGGTAGATGATTTTTCAAGCCTGGAAGTAAGAAGGAAAAAAAATCATGAAGGAAAAGATAATCAGGTTTTATCATATAAAAATGTAAAACTTCTGGCCAGGTGCACTGGCTCATGCCAGTTATCCCAGCAATTTGGGAGGCTGAAGCGGGCAGATCACTTGAGGTCAGGAATTCGAGACCAGCCTGGCCAACACGGTGAAACCCTGTCTCTACTAAAAATACAAAAATTAGCCAGGTGTGGTGGCGGGCGCCTGTAGTTCCAACTACTCGGGAGGCTGAGGCAGGAGAATCCTTTGAACCAGGGAGAAGGAGGTTGCAGTGAGCTCAGATTGCACCACTGCACTTCAGCCTGGGTGACAGAGAGAGACTCTGTCTGAAAAAAAGAAAAAAAAAAAAGTAAAACTTCTATCCACCAGGGGGAAAGAGAAAACAACAGTACATAGACAAAAGGTAAACAGCGGTTAGCAAAGAATATTTCTGCAAATTTGAAAAAAAAGAACTCCTTGTCAAATCCAAGTTCCTAGTGTGGTCAAAGTAGGGTTTTCACAGCATGCTCCTTGGCCAGATTCCAGAGTAAAACCCCCACCCAAAAAAAGAGATATTCCTTTTGAGTGCTATCCATGACTAGCTGTGACCTTGAGGGGGTTACTTAATTGCTCTATACCTCAGTTGCTTTATAATATGGGGACAATAATAGTACCTACCTCTTTTTTTATCATTAGGGCTGTAAGAGCCAGGGGTCCTACTAGGATTAATTGTTCTTATTTATTTATTTATTTTAGAAACAGGGTCTCGCTCTGTCACCTGGACTAGAGTGCAGTGGCATGATCATGGCTCATGCAGCTTTGAACTCCTGGGCTCAAGTGCTCCTCTCACCTCCGCCTCCTGAGTAGCTGGGACTACAGGCACACCCCATCATGCTTGCCTAATTTTTTTTCCTTTTATTTTGTGGAGGCAGGGCCTCACTATATTGCCTAAGCTGGTCTAGATCTCCTGTGTTCAGGCGAGCCTCCCAAGTTGGCCTTTCTAAGTGCTGGGATTACAGGCATGAGCCACCATGCTCAGCTTCATTGTCTATACTTACAGAACAAGGAAATCAAGAGTAAGAAAGGGAAAAGGGCGCTATGGCGGGTGACACAGGACAAGTACTAGGGAGGAATCCACAGAGATAGGGTGGACTGAGTTCAAGGAAGCATAGCCAGCCAGGTTCTACCATGCTCTGGCATGAAGTTATCCTTGGCAGAAGTAAAGACTTAGAACGTAGGTCAGGGAGTTGTCAGGAGACCCTGAATACTCAGGCATTCCCCCTTCACTACTATGATAGAAACAAAATTAGTTTCTTCTTTGTCTTCCTGGGCTTGTTGTAGTTGGGTGTGGTCATAAGACCAAGTTCTAGTCTGTGGCATGTGAGTGGAAGTGGTGGGTGCCATTGCTGGGCTGACATGTTTTGTGTTCCTTCCTTTCCAACAGCTGGAAATTGGATTTAATAACAACCTGGACCATGCAGATGGCAAGAGGCCTGAAGACAGGGCAGAGCCACTAGACGGAAAGAGCCTGGGTTCCAGAATTACTCTGTGGAGCAGAGCCGCCAACCAACCTAGAGCACCCACATTGGCAGTTTTGTGAGCAAGAAATAAACTTCATTATTCTTTACAGCACTAAATTAACAGGTCTTGTTACAAGAACTTGGTCTGCCCTAATACAGTAATGTTGAGCTAAGCCCATTGATAAATGGCACTAAGATCCTTTCCTACAGAAACATCCAAGGGCATTCCAGAAGTTACCCTACTAACAAACAGCAGGAGACAACACATTTGTGGTGAAGGCTACACATACAGTTTAAAGGCTACTGCTAGGCCGGGTGCAGCAGCTCATGCCTGTAATCCCAGCACCCTGGGAGGCTGAGGCAGGTGGATCACAAGGTTAGGAGTTTGAGACTAGCCTGACCAACATGGTGAAACCCCGTCTCTACTAAAAATACAAAATTTAGCCGGGTATGGTGGCATGCACCTGTAATCCCAGCTACTCAGGAGGCTGAGGCAGGAGAATCGCTTGAACCAGGAAGTGGAGGTTGCAGTGAGCCAAGATTGTGCCACTGCACTCCAGCCTGGGCAACACAGTGAGACAGGAAGGAAGGAAGGAAGGAAGGGAGGGAGGGAGGGAAGGGAAGGAAGGAAGAAAGGGAGGGAAAGAAGGGTTTGAAAACCAACCTGGCCAACATGGGAAAATCCCATTCTCTAAAATTAAAAAAATTAAAAATTAAACTACTCAACTCTGCCACTTTGTTAGCACAAAAGCCACAATAGACGATGCTGAAATGAGTGGGTGTGAATCTGTTCCAATAAGTCATGATTTACAGGAACAGAGTGTAGGCCATCTTAGGCCTGCAGGCCATATTTT